AAATGCCATGGGTATCCTGAATAGGGACTGCATTAAATTTGTATAGTGCTTTGGGCAGTTTTGACATTTTGATAATGTTAATCCTCCCTATCCATGAGCGGGGGATGTGTCTCCATTTCCTAGTGTCTTCTTTTATTTCTTGAAGTAGTGTTTTTTAATTTTCCTTGTATAGGTCCTTCACCTCTTTGGTTAAGTTGATTCCGAGGTACTTGATTTTCTGAGATACTGTTGTGAACGGAATTGTTTTAACATCTCTTTCTTCTCTTTCATTATTTGTATCTCTTTCATTATTTGTATTTGTAGCCATGGAGTTTGGGATATTGATTTTGTAGCCTACCACAAATTTCATTATTTGTATCAAATTTTATTTGTACAAATTTCATTATTTGTATCTCTTTCATTATTTGTATTTGTAGCCATGGAGTTTGGGATATTGATTTTGTAGCCTACCACTTTACTATAACCACCTATTGTTTCTAGGAGCTTTTCTGTATAGTCTTTAGGGTTTTCTAAGTATAGTATCATATCATCTGCAAATAGTGATAGCTTAACCTCTTCCTTTCCTATCTGTATTCCCTTGATATCTTTTTCTTGCCTAACTGCTATGGCCAGGACTTCCAGTACTATATTGAATAGGAGTGGCGAAAGCGGGCAACCTTATCTTGTTCCCGGTCTTAGAGGAAGGCGTTTAGTTTTTCCCCATTGAGAATGATATTTGCCATGGTTTTGTGGTACATGGCTTTGTCTATATTGAGGAACAACCATGTACTTGGATCCCCTTGATCCAGTTACTTCTTCTTGATTCACCCCTCAGTTTTCTTTGCCCTCCCTGTACTCTGGGCTGAGGATGATCCAGGCACCCCTGTTTTAGGACATAGCATCCCTCCTCCAGCGATTATCATACCACGTGAGGCCTGTGCATTCTCTGGCTGGCTGCATTTAGTGTGACACCTTCCAGTCCCATCCAGGTTCCAGTGGGTTGTGTGGTTTCTTCATTCCCTATGGCTGTGTAGTACTTCATTGTATGTATATACTATCTTCATGACCACTACCTATTTTTGGGCATCTAGATTAATGCCAGGTCTTAGCTGTTGTACTGAATGCCACAATCAAAAAGTTTGTGCACATGTCCTTTTGAATGATTATTTTTCTGTCCTGGGGGTAAATACCCAAAAGTGGAATTTCTGGGTCACATTTTTTAATTGCTGGCTCAACTTTGAGTTTATTCAGAACCCTCTATGCTGTTTTCCAGACAACATTATCCCCAGCAGTCGGTGAGAAGTCACATCCTCACCCACACAGATTAGTACCAGCGTTTTTGACGTGTGCCATCATCACCGGTAAAAGATAGTATCTCATTGTCATCTTATTTGAATTTCCCCAATAATAAGTGATGATAAGCATTTTTTCATGTGTCTGATGGCCATCTGTTGATCTTTCTCTGAAAAATCCCTGTTCATTTTCTCTCCCCAGTTTTTGATGGGGATTTTTTGGGGGGGGGGCTATTTTCCTGTGTTGAAAATGAAACTGTTAATTTTCCCACTGATATACATTATGATAGCTTACAAGAAATAGAAAATTTTTCAATTCAGCTTCATACCTTTCTGTGTGTGGATAAGCCTCACTCTAACCCACCACCAGACCTGGGTGAGGCTAAGAGTATCTGAACATAAACCAGTGCCTATCCTAGTGTACTGTATTAAATCTCTGAGGGTGGCCAGGGTGTGACTCTGACAGCTCTTCTCCTGGCCGCCCAGGTTCTGGGGTCCCCGGGCCACTCGCCCAGCCAGGATGGCCCGGGCCGTGGGGCAAACAGTGGACGAAATGAGGTCTAAGCTGGTTGATTGATCAGTTGCCATTTATTCCATTCTCCCCACACGCCTGCCCCAGTGTCTTTGAGCCTCCCATTCTAGTCTCACAATACTACTCATTCCCATCTCCTTCTGTCTCTCCCACTCATCTCTCCGTGCTCCATCTTGCATCCTGGGCTCGCTCTCTCGCCACGTCCTTGCTCCTGTATTATTCCTCTACATTCTTCTCTCTCTGTCCCCCTTGATAACCTCTCCCCAGTCCATCGTGCTGCCCTGCTCTCTCTCTCATCTCTCTAACCTTCTTGTCTCTCCAACTCCCCATCACTCTGGGCCTACACTCCACCTACTCTGGTAGCCAAATCAACATAAGAAATCCCTTCCCGAGGGCCCACCAAGTTCAAAGGGAACACCACCTAAGAGGTATTCCAAAGCCCTTCTTGACTGCCTCAGGCAAAATACCTCTTAAGGTGTGTTTTTCCTTTCCTCCGCCCAATAACTTTATCAACATTTTAATACTATTCATTTTTGTATAAAAGAGATAACATTGAGGCTCATAGGGCAGTTCTCCTGGGAATATCTGGCCACAGACTCAGACTACAGAGTTTAGGCCAGATTAATCTTTCCTAATCCTAGCAGGGTCTGAATCTAGTTACTACTTTTGGATCATGACAGCATTTGTCCATGACCAAGCTCTTAACTTATAGTTAAGCATTATGGCACTTTGGCCAGGCCCATCTTGATGTCAGGGTAGCACATAGCTTACCGCTTACCCTGGTTCCATTAATCCCTTATTGGGACCCTGCTTTGGGGGTGGGGGCGGCTAGGAAGTAAAGCCAGCTGAGGCTTAGGTGAGAGAGCAGATGCTCAGGAGGAAAGTACACTGAGAGTCATATTACAAAGGCATAGCATATACTGTCTTGTGTCCATAAGTATAAAAGGACATTGCTCTGAATAAACTATGCAAAGGACTTAGGGAAAAGAGAAGAACTATATTTTTAAATCAACAGGGTGCAAAGAAAGAAGTTACAAATAAACACAGAAGAATGGGAGTACTGTGATGGGAGCAACCCAATAAACCTAAACTACCTGATGCTATGCAGGAAGGACAAAAACAGTGTTATCCTACAGTGTATCTTTTAACTTTTTGTTTCTTGGGCCATAATTGACTATGCTCATGGCTTACTCCTGGCTCTTAGGAATCACTCCTGACTGGATTTAAGGGGGGGGTGCGGGGAGGGAGGCATATAGGATGCCAGGGGCTGAACCTGGATTGACCCTGTGCAAGGCAGGTGCCCTCCCTCCTGCAGTCTCTCTAGCCCTGAGAGCTAGCGACCCTTAGCTTTTAGAACTCTCAGCTTATCACATTGATCTTGGATATACCCTTTTTCTGTTAAATTATCTTTAAATGTATCTGGTCTTCCGCAAAGGGGCGTGGAAATCATTTTTCACTGGTATTTCACTGCTTGCTTTTGTTTTCTCTGAAAACAGTGAATCTTGATACTGAGCTTTTCCAAGGAAGATCAGTTGGCCATGGAATATGAGCATGATGATCAGTGGTATATGGTTAACCCAATCCACGGCCAGGTGTCACATGGATGATTTCTCCGGGATCATCCTCATTTGCACCGTGTGATGTGTGGACCAACAGTGTTTCCTCTGGAATCAGACTTAGATTTCCATCTTTTCTGTTAGCAGCATCTCTCTGAAGCTTTGTGATTTTGAGCAACCAGTTCGCCTCTTTGAACCTTAGTTTCCTCTTCACTTACATGGAGGTGTCTCATAGTGTTCCTTTTTGTATTTTGTTTTGTTTTGTTTTGGGGCTATGCCAGTGGTTCTTGGGGTTATTCCCAGATCTGTCCTCAGGACAGTGCTGAGGGGACTGTGTGGTGCCTGGATGGGCCTGGGCCTCATGCAGGAAAGCCTCTGCTCAGCCTGCTGTGCTGTTTAATTTGCCCTTGTGGCATAACATTGTCATGCAGTTTAAATTAGGTGATACAGAGAGTCAGATAATTAAGAGATTGGTTTCTGTGCTCTGGAGTCGTGGCCGTGCTGGAGAGCCGCTCGTGGGGGGCAACTGGTAGCCTCGGTAGGGCGTGAAGGATGGACCGGAACGCCCCCCTTCCCATGAGGTTTTAGTCGCCCCCAAACCCCCGGCTCACACCTGCTCCTCTCCACAAGGCACCCATGTGGCCACCATCTTTCTTTCCAGAGAGGAGAGGGCGAATGGGGCAACACCCTTTCCCCTCAGAGCAGACATTTAATTCTTGAACCTAGCTGTAGAAAGTGAATCATTTCACAATGCTTTTTCAGCATGTCTGATTTGGGGGGAGGGGGTAAACTCTAAATAATAGTGGTGCATCTTTTATTGAAACAATGAATCTAATCAAAGCAGATAGAGTGTCAACTAGAATTCATCTGCCTCGCAGGCATTGGGAGGGGTGGAGGGTGGGGTTTTATTGGGGTTCTTTGTGGTAAAAAATAAGTATTGGTTAAGGGAAGAGTGTTTGATATTTGCATGACTGAGACCTAAACCTGAAAGCTTTGTAACTTTTCCCACAGTGATTCAATAAATAAATAAATTATTTAAACAAAATTTGGTGATACATGTAAAAGGCTTAGCAGAATGCTTCTTATAGCTACTGTTCAATAAATGTTTGCTATTTGGGTTATCACTGCCTTCTTTTTCTATTTGTTTCTGTGCCATATCTGGTGGTGCTGAGGGATTACTCTTCAGTCAGTAATTACTCCTAGGTTCAGGGTCCATATGTGGTACCAGGAATTGAACCTGGGTCAGCTCTGTGAAAGACAAGTGCCCTACCAGTTGTCCTATTGTTCTAGTCCCTATTTATTTTTCTTAATCTTTTTCTGATTTTCAATATGAACCAAAGAGTGGCAGTAAGAGAAATGGGGGAAACATACTTTAGTCTTAATCTTAATACTGCATTTCGTATCTGGAGGAGCCCAAATTTTGTGCTATGTTAAAATAATTATCAACAAAAACAAAACATAGAAAAACAATCAGACTAACAGTAATGAATACTCCAGAATATAAATAAACTAAGATAAGATTAAAAGTCTCCTTATTCAGTGATTATTTTCTAGTCCTAAATAAAATTTTGAAAACTTTAAACAAAATATATTCTGTACTTTTACCTTTTTACTAATAACATGCCATTTTTATTATTTCAGAACGATGACATTGAAACAGATATTAATAAACTGAAACCTCAGCAAGAACCAGGACGAACAATAGAAGAACTTAAAATGTATGAACACCTTTTCCCTGAGCTTGTTGATGATTTTCAGGTATAATCTGGAAAATTCACTGTCTTAAGTAATTTTTAGAAAAAGTTCTTTCTGTCCCCCACTTTCCGGTTTTTCTTTTTTAATTTTTTTCTTTCTTTTTTTTTTTTTTTTAATAAAGCATAGGTAGTATATTGGGCTCTTCAACGTTGTGAGCTGCAAATTGCCTATCTGTAAAATGAAACTGGCTCATTTAATTTGAGGGCTCACTTAAAAACTATTTTATTCCTCTGGTTCATTATTTTTTAATATACTTTGATCTTTCACTTTCTTTTATTCCCTCCCCTGTCCCTTCCCTTTGTTGTTGTTGATGATGATATCGTCGTAGTGACCAGGAGTTGTGCATAGGCTGCTCTCTGCGCTGAGGTCACCCTGCTCACTGGGGCCACACTGTCCACGGTGCTTGCGTTGCCCCTGAGGCTGCCCTTCCCCAGGGTTGCTTTTCTCCTGTCATACTCCTGGCCCATGTTGCCTTCCGAGCGGGGGCCCCGGGTTGCTGTGGTGCTTGCTGGGGAGTGCTGCAATGCGCATGTTCAGTGCTCTGCAGAGGCCCGTGCTCGGTAGGGGTCACACTCCCCTAGGTAACGTCCACGAGCACGTAACAGCCAGTGTGGCCTGGAACGCAGTCTTCTGCCTTAGATTCTGTGTGGTCAGTTAGTTCTTTGATTGTTCAAATACTTCAGTCTCTGTGTTTTTGACGTGTGTTTAAATTACATATAGGCGTCTATATTTAACTGATAATCTCAAGAGAATTAAAAAAATATTCTTAGTGTTATTTGGGAACCAGAGAGAGAGAGTACAGTAGGTGAGACTCTTGCCCTGATCTTTGCTTGCTATTTTCCAGTGTAGATCTTCAAAACTTTCACTTACTTGATGTATTTGTTTGCAGCCTGACCACCACACACACTGTTTCTCAGTGTTAAGGGCACTGTTCTAATTCAGTGCTCAAATGGACACAGAATGAATGCATGAAGGAAACATATGCATTCAGAAATTCTTAAAAGACTTTTTGAGGAGACATTACTATGCTTTGGAAGCTATGATTAACAATAATAATAAAAATAGCCTCATTTCTTTCTTAATGACAGAAGATTGAAAGTATCAGAATTTTTGGTCTGTGCGAGCCTGCAACACTGACCCAGGCACTCAGGTTGGCCGGAGTGGCTGGTGTGTCACAAAGTGTCATTTGTGGGAGACACCCTTTGAATGTGGGCGGGGGTGCTGGGCAGTTCCTGCAGGATCAGGCCCCCTACCCAGACTAGGGTGTGGGAGAATAAGGGCTGGGAAGGGGCTGAAGGACAGCGGGTGCGGGAGGAACTAGGAAGGCAAATACAGACCCATTACCTGCTCCCCCAATCTCCTACAGGACAGCTGCTTCCCCATGTATCCCGTTTTACCCCTCCCCACTGTGCCCCCTCCTCTAAGTGATCATTTGCACATAGGAGAGATTCTGTGGGCTCCAGTCCCTGGGAAGTGTGTTCTCTTTGTGCTTTTATTCAGAGCAGTGATTTGCTCCCATCAGCCTTTTGTGGTGAAACACCTCACCACCCCCCACCTCTGTATCAGAGAGAGCATTCCCTTTTACTCTCTCTCCTTTAGGGTGTTGTGGTCTGCAATGCAGGTGTTAAGTGGCCATATGTTCAGTCTATAGTTTACTTTCAGTACACATCTCCCATCCCGAGCTGGTCCTCCAAGCATCCTTTACTTGGTGGTCCCTTCTCTATCTGAGCTGCCTTTTCCTCCAGCATGTGAGGTCAGCTTCCTAACCATGTAGCGATCCTTCTGACCCTTATCTCTATTATCCTTTGGTGTTCGTCTCCCATTATGTTGCTTTATATTTCACAAATGTGTGCAGTCATTCTGTGTCTGTCCCTCTCTCTCTGATTGATTTCACTTAGCATGATATTCTCTATGACCATCCACTTATATGCAAATATCATGACTTAATGGGCTGGAGCGATAGCACAGTGGGTAGGGCGTTTGCCTCGCAAGCGGCCAACATGGCCGACCCGAGTTCGATTCCTTCGCCCCTCTCGGAGAGCCCAGCAAGCTACCGAGAGTATCTCGCCCGCACAGCAAAGCTTGGCAAGCTACCTGTGACGTATTCGATATGCCAAACACAGTAACAACAAAGTCTCCAATGGAGACGTTACTGGGCCCGCTCGAGCAAATCGATGAACAATGGGAGGACAGTGACAGTGACAGTGACATGACTTCATCTTTTCTAACAGCTGCAGAGTATTCCATTGTGTAGATGTACCAAAGTTTCTTTAGCCAGTCATCAGTTCACAGGCACTTGGGGTTTTTCCAGATTCTGGCTATTGTGAACAGTGCTGCAATAAAAACAGTTCTTTACTTTGGGGGGTTCCCTGAAAGGTCAGGGCCCCACTGATAACTCCAGGATAAGCGGGTAACAGTTCAGTGCCAGAGCCTGTATGTGATGCTGCTCAGGACACGCAGCATGGGGGCTTCCTGGACCCGGCAGTGGTGCTGGGTCTCCAGGGCTGTACCAGCGTGCACAGGGACCACTTTACACTCTGCAGCTCAGCAGGCACTGCGGAAATTTGTTGAATCAATGAGTAACAGTTCAGTTTCTCCTGTACAACTTTGTATCATTTTGATGTGTTTGACATTTATAATTTAAAAAATTTTCTTTAGGCATTTTTATAATAGTAAAGGTAAAATAAATATAATGAATTATTTGTATTTAAATGTTTTGCCTTTTATTACCAAATGACTCATAACCTTGGTTTGTCCATTAAAATTTTTATTGACTGTTAAATTTCTTAAGTGACGTAGTTTTATACCTTATTTCTTGTTAACTGTCTCTAATAAAATGATCAAACATGTTTTTTTCTCCCCGCAGGACTATGACTTAGTCTCCAAGGAACCGAAGCCTTTTGTGTTTGCGGGGAAGGTGCGGAGCCCCATTGTCGTCCCGACCGCAGGCCCCGAGCCTGGGAACTCAGGCAGTGTGAGGAAAGGAGCTGGGAACCAGGCGATGGAGCCTTCCAAGGGAGATGACAGCGACAAGAGCACTAACCTGACGGATCTGGCGAAAGAAGATCTGAAAGATAGTGACAGAACTTTCCAGGAGCTGCTGGTCAGACAGGGTAGAACTAGTGCCTCAGCTCACGGGTTCAGCAGTGACATCGTGAAGGCCCTGGACCGCATCACACTGCAGAGTCTTCCAGCCCAGATGGCCCCTGGCTGTCCCGCGGGTGTGAAGAAGGACCACGGTCTCCCACTGACCATCCTGCCCTGCCCCCTGGCCAGCCCACCTCGGGCCCCCTGTGGCAGCGTGTGTGAGGGCCGGGCAGCGCCCCTGGGGAAGCTGTGTTGCGCGGGAGTGGAAACTGAGGATGATGAAGACAGCGGGTCTGCCTCGTCAGTGGAGCAGTCATCTGCGGACCTATTGGACGCACCGACCCTCCATGACCCCGACCTCTACATTGAGATTGTGAAGAATACCAAATCCGTTCCAGAATATTCCGAAGTGGCTTACCCAGATTATTTTGGCCACGTTCCACCCCCATTCAAAGAACCTATTTTAGAAAGACCTTATGGCGTCCAAAGGTGAGTCACAGGTGGGTCAGTGTCAACTATGAGTACACTTTAAAATACATGTTTTGGGTAATTCAGAAGAAATTTCTCTGAATTAAAGTTACGTTTTTTTGTTTGTTTGTTTGTTTGTTTCCACTCTGCACTGAAACCTTGCATTACTTTGGATTACTTTGACATGGTGTTTGTGAATGTGTTCTCTAAGCTTATATCACTCAGTGCAGTGTAGTGTAAAACTGATCACTGGACAATTTTTAAGTGTAGATTGAATCTTGGAATGAATTACCTTCATGATATTTGCAGATTTAGTAATACATTGGTTGAATTTGATTTACGTATATGATTTTAAAATGGAATACAGAGCAATATGGGCAGCATTGTTTTCTTTTAAATTATAAAATGAAAATATTGTTTGGTGTTTTGAAGAGCAGTACCTAAGTTTTGAAGTATTATTACTAACTAGGGAATAGGTGGTACGTAGTATTTTTTTGTGCAGCTGCGGTGTTCTAGTGATTTTGATTAAGGTTTTTTTGAAGATTGATCACTAGTATCTAAGAACATTTGTATGCTTTGTTGTGAGTATAGCGTGAATGGGAAAGGCCCCATTTTATTTTCCATAGGCTATAAGCACTTCTAAGGCAATTGCAGGATCTTATTTTTATTTTAATTATGTAGTGCAATTCTCCATTTTCCTCTGGCCACTTCCTCTCTGCTTGTGTGCTACTAGTTGACGCCGTGACCACCGCTGTGGAGTGGCTGTGTGGGTGGCCTGTGCTGTGGCTCCCAGGTGGCCTCAGACATGGCCCTGTCCAGAAGCAGCTGGCTCTTTGCCTTCCTGAGGTGACCTTTGGGCACAGTTGGAGAAGAATGCTCAGGGGAAAATACTCTGGAAGGTTGAGGCAACATTTTTTGGAGTGCAGCATATTTGCTGGATTAGCAGTGTCCGTGTGGTTCTAGACTCTGCAGAGAAGGAATGGAAGGATATGGTGCCAGTCGGTAGAAACCACTGCTGCCCATGTCCTCTCATTGGAGTTGATGCTCCCTGGCCCTGTGCTTTGGGTGTGGTGGGTCTGTGCAGTCCCACAGTGGGTTGGTCTCACCAGAAGGGGAATAGGCAGTGGACAGTGAGACTGCTGTGCTTCCTTGCCGGTGGCTTATTGCAGTAGTGCCCAGGCCTGCAGTCATAAACAGGCTCCATCCTGACCCAGGCGCCCACCCAGAGCTGCCGAGGGGAGAAGCACTGAGTGGGCGGGACAGAAACGAAGTGCAGGTACCTTCTGTTTCCCCTCGGTCCTGCTTTTTCCAGTTCTTAGTGTGAGTCGGCCTGTCAGCCTCCAGGAAGAACAGTGACATGATTGCTTGGAGCTTGCTGTCTCAAGAGAGAGGGCCTGGGCCAGTGACAACCCTGCGGGTTTCTAGACTGTGGTGGACAGATGTGGGAGTCCCATCTGGAAGGAAATGCCAGGGAGAGGGACACACTTTGTTCTGCTCATATCTTTGTCCTGAGCATTCAGGGGGATCCCCGTAGGATCCGTGTGGGGAAGTGGCTCCATGCAGAGTCAGGGTGTGGCTGTCCCCGCTGTTTCCTGAGAGTGGCTGCCAGCAGCCCTTAGCTGCCTTCCTCTTGGGTGTGTCCAGTCCATGCTGAGGCAGTGCCCTCTGGCAGTGCCCGCAGGCCCTTTCACATCTGGGTGGGCACGCCACTCCACACTGCAGTCAGAGCAAGGCTCTGTGCCCAGCTGACAGCCCAGCAGGCAGCGGGACCTTCTCTGGACATCACTGGCTGACCGCACATCCGCGGCTATTCCTCGACAGAATTCTCTTGAGCTTTGTGCTCCCGCGTCCTGGTGGGACTGCCTCTAACACTACAGTCTGGGGGTGTCCCAGCAGTGTTTTCACCTCTGCTCAGTCCCAAGCGAGGTCAAGGAAGAGATAGGCCTGGACACCTATTGAGTTGTTTTCAAATAAAAGCTTAAAAAAGTAATGTTGAAAATTATTATTATTTTTAATAGCTTTGTCTTCTTAGGGGATGGAGCGATAACATAGTGGGTAGGGTGTTTGCCTTACGTGCAGCCAACATGGCCGACCAGAGTTCGATTCCTCCGCCCCTCTCGGAGAGCCCGGCAAGCTACCAAGAGTATCTCGCCTGCACGGTAAAGCCTGGCAAGCTCCCCGTGACATATTCGATATGGCAAACACAGTAAAAAGTGTCACAATGGAGACATTACTGGGCCCCCTCAAGCAAATCGATGAACGACGAGAGGACAGTGTTTTCAGTGATAGTGTCTCCTTAGGAGTTTTATTTTTTTTTTGTTTTGAGGCGACAGCATCAGTTTCAGGGCTTACTTCTGTCCCTGTGCTCAGGAATCATCCTAGGCAGGTCCAGGGACCATGTAGGTTATAGGGGATGGGCCCCTGGCCACCCACTGTGATGCAGGTGCCTACCTGCTGTATTGTGGCTCCTAGAAGGTTTGCAGACTCTCTTCTACCCCACCGCTCCCCTTCCCCCCCACCCCCCCCACTGATTTTCATGATCTTGATAATGATGTTACTTTGGGGGCTGGAGGTTACTAGAATGTAACTCAACTAGCCTGGGCCACTCCTGGCTGTTGCTGACCAGACATCCAGATGGTACCATCCTAGGCCTGACTTAGGGTGACTCTTTAGTCCTGGGTGCTGGGAACACCAAGGCCACTGTTGAGTTCAGGGGCTTCCAGGTCCATCTCAGCTGTTCTGGGGAGCCTTTAAGGTTAGCTAGGCAGTGCTCAGGGACCATGCCCTGCTGGGGAGAGGACTGGGTGGGTGTGAGGCTCTTGCCTTAGCAACCTGCCCTCTCTCTGCTCCTGCAGATTTTCTTGGAGGAAGAGGAAGCATACATTGCGGTGTAATGGGAAACTTGTGTCAGCTCCAGTCTTTTGCTGTGTTGTTATGTTTGTTGTGTGTTAGAGACTGTCTGTGGTTTGATATATGTAGCCTATGTTGCAAAATACACTTTTTGTAATTATAGGGCGTAGGACGTTTGCCTTGCACTCGGCCAACTCGGCTGACCTGAGTTCAATTTCTCTGCCCCTCTCGGAGAGCCCAGCAAGCTACCAAGAGTATTTCGCCTGCACAGCAAAGCCTAGCAAGCTACCTGTGACGTATTTGATATGCCAAACGCAGTAACAACAAGTCTCACAACGGAGATGTTACTGGACCCGCTCGAGCAAATCGATGAACAACGGGAGATACTTACTGTCGATCTTACTTACTATCATAGTTTCTATTTTTCCTTAGTCAATAAGTAAAATTTCCATAACGTTAGTTATTGATATTTGGCAAGAATATCAACTACATTTAAGTGAAATACTGTGGTCCTGTTCAGTGAAGCTATATTACTTCACTGTTTGGTTCTATATTTGTGATAAGATATCAGATATGCGAATAAAAGGTATTTATACAGCATTCACAAATGCTTCTTTTCTTGAGATGCATTTATTATATTGGTTCTGCTTTTCTTCTTTACCTAGTTTTCAAGATATGTTTTGTGCAGTTGATAAACATTTTATAAGTTATTTGCCAATTTATTGCCTTATTCCTGTTTGGAGATAGTAATATTACAAATGAGTGTCATTGTAATTAAGTTTTGGGTTTCTTTTACTACTTTATTATTTTCAGAAAATAGGTAGCATTTCTCAAAATTGGTAAAACTTTATTTGTTGTTTTGAGGATTTACTTTATGATTGGTGTGTGATTACTGAATTTTTTTAAAAGAAGTACACAAGAAATAAATTCAAACTTTACTCAGAATCTCTCTTTCTCACTTGGTAAGAGCAGTGCCCATTATAAGATGAGTATCTGGGGGCTGGGCAGAGGGTACGGCTGTGTGCCAACTGCAGCTCAGTTCTTAGGTTTCCTGGTGTCTGGGAGTGTCCAGGTCTAACTGTAGAGCCCCAAGCACTGCAGGCATGTAGTGGGCCCCAGCATCCCTGTCTGCAGGCCAGGCTGATGGCTTGCCTAAGAACCTTGAGCAATCTACAGGACGCCACTATGATTACTTCAGTCTGTATTTTCGTTTTCAGTTGAGTTAAAAATGAGGGATGGGGGTCACAAGAACAGTGGCTGGAAGCAGACCCAGTGGTGGAGATGTGGTGTTGGAGTGGGTGTGCAGGAGACTCAGTAATGGTATTGTAGATCTGGGTGCCTCTATAAAATTCACCCTCAAAATGCTTGTCTCAGATTTGAAAGTATTCTTAACAATTTCTGGGTGCACTTTTCCTTTCCTATGATGTCAAAAATTTAGAAAAAGTAGAAAGTGGAAGGTCGGGGAATGGGCAGAGACCGAGAGGAGAATCAGGCTGGAATAGGCATATTGGGGCCTCCCAGTGGCTGATGGCTTCCGGAAACACCAGTTATGTGGGGCCCACCGGCATCTTGGGAGGGCTGACAGGGTGGAAGGGAGAACTGCATGCTTAGTGCAGTAACGGTCCCTGCCCTAGCCTGAGCTTGGTTGGCGCGCAGACATCCCCGGGGGGTGCATTCAGGGGAACCTGTCCTGAGCCCCCAGGCTGACCCTCAGAAAGAAAGGTCACACTTTTGCTTATATTGCTTTGAGACAACACCTGCCATGCTCAGGATTTACTCCTGGGACTGTTGTCATGGATTGCTCTGTTCGTGTCCAAGATAATTCCTGGCAGGCCCCGCGGCCCCATATTTGATATCAGGGATCAGATGTGAGTTGGGTGCCAGCTAGGCAGATTTCCTGCTGAACTCTCTCCCCCTCCGGCCCTCAGAAAGGTCACTTCGTGAAGTTCCTAGAGATTACAAGTATTAAGATCTTATTTTTTTCTGTTGTTTTTCTTTATGCTTCCGAACATTGTCTAAACTGTATTTTGTGTTTTACTATTAAGATATAAATTGTTGTCTTATTTTGTAAAGACTTTGACACTTTATAAGAAATATTTTAAAATATGGCAAGAAATACAGTGACTTAAACATAGAAATAGTTTTCATTGTCATTCAAAATTTTTAAATGC